AAAAAAAAAAAAAAAAAAAGAAATAGAGGTGAATTGGAACATCAGTAAGATTCCATGGACATTTTTTAAAGGAGGCTTTATCTGGTCTGTCCCTGCAGTGACTTATGCTATTGGATGTTTTTGCTGCCATCCTGCCAAATTCCAGTCAAAACGTGGAACAAGTTTATTTGTAGAACTAATGCCTGTAGCTTCCAAAACTATCCTCCACTGAAAGGAACAAACGCTCTTGGAGGATAGTTGACTCCATATTCTGGGCAGCAACAAGAAATCAGGACTTGTTTGTGAATACTAGATGTTGAAAGAAAGCAAGTTTGCATTAGGGTATCAGAGAGTCATAAATCCACAATGATGCAAAAGAGAAGATAAAAAAGAATTACCTGAAAATCACACGTGATTTCTGAAACTGTTTACTGCAAAGGCTGTATATTGATTAACACACATTATGTGAGTCCTACACCTAAGTTTTTATAACCAACAGTTTGAAAATACAGGATGCTACTTTTTCTTGTAAGGAGATGAACCTGTAGCAGGTCACAGTCAGAAGAGGTTTCACAGGACATTATCGATATTCCAAAGATCTCTGCGAAATGTGGTTCAATTAATAGAAAAGGATACACGCAGGTTGGAGAGAGAATCAGAACTTTTGGTGATGCCCAGGATGGCCTTTCAGAGTTGTTTCTCTTATCTTCCCAGCAGTAAATTATAATCTTTCCTAAGTATTGCCAGCAGTGGCTGCATGGCTGATAGAGGCATGCCCTGAAAGCCGCGCTGTGTTTTATCAACTAGCCAGTGCATGTGCACTGTTGCAAGTTATGTGCTGTTGTTTGGGACCATTCATCCAACAATGACTCACTTTGCACAGGCAGGTGCACCACATCCTCTTTCTATATTATTTCGATTACCACGTTGCTGTGCACCTCAGATGGCAAATCAGAACCAGCTTCTCCACCCACCATAGACCTCACTATGCCTCACTACAAGAGGAGAAAATCCTATAGATGTCATAAAATGTTAAATGGACCCTGATGAACGGAACATTTTGAGAGGGCAAAATCAAACGGAAAAAAGCATTTTGGTGAAGAAGTACCAAAGCTAGTTAGAAACTAAAAGGAGAAAGATGGACTAAAGGGAAAATATATCATAAAATGTAAATTTTAACTGAGCTTCTCTTTCTAAGGAGATTTTAAAATTAAGGAGGCATAGGGAATAAGTGAAGGAACAGAAAGTAGGATGATAAGGGGTAAGTTTGTCATAAATATGTGAGGAAAAACATGCTTGCACTAAACGCAGCCAAAAGTACACACATCAAGTGGAAAAACAGGTCAATATATGCCAATTGGTGTCTATATGAACGAAATGTATGATAAAACAAATGAAAAAGAGGTCATTTTAACACCAATTGGAGCTTATGATAACATCCGGTTCTTTGCAAAATCTGTATCTTAGATGCACTATGGTCTACGTTATGGTTTACAAAATTGGAAGAAAACCAACTAACAACAGGTTTATCATCAGTAAAGGATAGCACAGTGCCAGACATGTGCAAGTAGGAGGTCCAACCCTTTTCCTAAAGGAGGTGGTTGTGGAGGCCTGCTTTGGGGAAGAAGGCAGCAGCACTGTGGGACTGTCCAGTGGATGGCATGATGCAGGTATCGGGTGGAAACTGAGCGGGATTAAGGAGAAACAAAGAAAAAAGGGGTTTGGGTTTTGTGTAAACAAATAAATCCAAGAATGCGTGTTTGTGAGCCTCTGAGCACTGCCCACGGTCAGTGTCAATCACTCGGGATTGGCAGGTTTGCCTTGCCAGTCTCCTCTTCTTCTCTCCTATGAGTGTCACAGTGAGAACTCATCCTGGGGGCTTACGAGTCAAAATGGATTTGTAGTGATCAAGACAGCCTACTGTCCTCAACACACTGTCCTCCTTGTTCCTAACATCTCTGAAGGAAAGGTGAGACCCCTGGAGAGAGGGTAAAGAAGAGGCTGTCAGCATATGAGCATCTCTCCTTTCCTGGCTCTTTAAGTCGCTGAGCATAATTTGTGGCAATTGGGGGGATACTGCTCTGGACTCTGTTGGACACCTATTGCCTAGATGTATGTAAAAAAATCCGGAAGGCTCTATCTCTAGATTTTTAGTAAGGAGGAGAAACAGGGGCCTTTGTAGATGATGAACATCAAGAAGAAGAGAACAAAAGGCAGACTTTAATGATAATTGCTGAGGAAGGCTGGTTTGTCAGCCCTATGGTGAACAGTTAGAAAATTAGGGGTATTTTGAGGGGTTCAAATTCCTTCCTTCACAAGTTAGGGAATTGAAGTTGGTTTTGGAGCATTAATACAATGTTATCCCATTTCTATAGCCACAGGCTGATGAGTTCACAGTCAAAATAACATTCCACATACAAATTCACTCATACCCACCCCTCCCTCTCCTGGTTCCCTCACTGCGCTTCCTTACTCAGCCTGGGTTTTTATCATATAGTTTTCGGATGCTGCCCTGCTTCTTCCTGGTTATTGCCATCACTCTCTGAACTTTAGGTAGCCCAGCCCTGCTTTCCCTCCAGGTCCTGGGCAGTGGCTTCTTTCTTCTTGATAGTGAGAATCTCCTGCTCCATCTCCTGCTTCTCTCTCTGTACTTCCAACTAAATTCTAATACCTACGGACCTCCATGCCACCAACCCAAGATACAAGCACACCACATGGATCATTTCTCTCATCATATGATCAATCTCTCTCTGTTCTCTTACATACCAGAAAGCTTTTTACCCAAAGTAAATCTTCACTAACATTAGTTTTACATAAAATGGATTCCACAGTTTCTCATAAGAGCAGGTGAAGTTTTAGAGTCAGAAGTGTCTCCATGAATCGGCGTCACCTGAGTCTGTAAGACAGGTTGTAATCACAGACCCATAAAACAAGCACAGACATCAGAGCTTATTTAGTCCAACATGCCTAAATTACAAGTGAAGAAACTGACTCCCAGAGAGGGTACATGATTTGCCCTGAGTCTCTCAGAGAAGCCGTGCTGGAAGACACACTTCCTGACCCAGTGTTTGAGAAACTTTCTATCATTAAGAACAATTTAATAATTTACATAATTCTGGAAGCAGTGAGGACAGGTTTGAGTGGTGAGAGACTGGCAGGAAAAACATACAGGAGGCCATTGTGAAAGTTCAGGAAAAAGTTGATGAGGGAATGGAATCTAATGCTGAAAAAGTAGAAATTCATCTGTTGTACTTAGAGTAAATTTCCTCACCTGCAAATGACACAAAGACCTACTTGCCTCATCCCTATATTTCCCAGGGAATAGACATTTGAGGCTGAGATAATACTGTGTACATCATGCAGAGGCATGAAAGGTGTCTTCAAGCAGTTCAGTATGGATGGAGTATAGGAGGTATGTAGGGGCAAAACAGGAAGTAAGGCCACTTCATGGAATTAGGATTTCCTTGCAAAGTGTGGAATAGATGTTCATTGTACCTAAGAACTCAGTCCATAGTAAGGTTCCAGAAGAGGGTCCAACACAGAGTGGAACTATTGAAAGCCCAATACTAAATGCAGTGCAAACACAACCGCCCATATCTTCTGCCTGTGAACCAGAAGTGGTAATACAGTGGGCAATGGAGATCCATGATGGAGGCCATGTGGAGACACCTGGAGCAGAGAAGAGCAAGGTGTCCCAAACTATGGCTGAGAGCAGCGCTAGGAACAAGGGGATAATGCCGAGGAAATGGGAGGTTCTGAGACTGGCTCACTGGGTGGAGCATATACTCATTCACAGAGTCTCGAAGGTGCTGTGCAGCACCAAAACCAACTCGCCACACACCGGACATTGTTAAGTGTTTAATCACAACCAACAGTGCTTCCAAGTGTGGTTTTTGGAATAAACTGAATCATTCCCATGCTTGGCATAGCCGCTTGTGCATCAGCACAGACCATATAAGCACCACTTTCCCCCTTCCACTGATGTGTGTTAAAGATTTACTGAGCTATGCCCTACTCAGTATTTCATAAGATAACATGTTATCTTATTTAGTCATAATGCAGCTTTTTCTGATCATATTTTAGGTGAGAAAAAAATAAGGATCAGAGACTCACCCAAATGTTACACAGCCGGTATCTTGAGGATCTGAGATTCTGACACCCAAGCAAGCTCTACACTCAGCCCTCTTTTCCTAGTAAATCTCAGTGAACTGAAACTGCCTGATGTCCCCCTGCAGGGCTGGCGGGCCTTAGGGGTGTCTTCCCTCAGAGATGAGTGATTCCTGCTTTTGCTGCCCTCTCCCTCATGTAAGTGGCCAGGATGCTCCTACATGCTGTCTGGCCACCGGTGGCATTGGTGGTGAGTCACAGGGGGTTGTAGGGTAGTGGTATAACCCAGCTACTCCACATTTCAAATCCAGGTAGGACAAGACCAAAAGTCCTATGCCACGGCTTCAGATGAGAATCTCTGTGTTGAGCAAAGCCCTGGTTCTCAATCCTTTCTTGCCAGGCTGCTGGTTTGTGCTGGATCTTGATTTCCCCCCAGGTGTGCTACATCATCCTTATTCATCTTAATAAAAAATAGTCATCATATTGAGTGCCTAATATGTGCTAGACACTGAATTAAGCACTTTAGATATATTTAATTTTCATAACAACCCTTTGAAATACATAGTTTTATTATCCAAGTTTTATAGAAGAAGAAATAAATCAGCTCAGAGACTTTAATAAGTTGCCCAAGCTTCCACAATTAGTAAGAAGTGAAACTGAGATTTGAACCCAGCAATTTGGATCCTGCGTTTCTTGACTTCCATTTTGATCCTGGGCTTCTTGGTGTTGCCACCTTGCCTGACCCCAGACACTGACCACAGCTCTTCTTCCTGGTTTCAACTCAGCGACTCACAGGCAACATGGGTTCCTCAATCTCCAGTTATGGTCCTGTGGTTTTTGAACTGGTGATGTCCTTCAACTGGACACTTCCTGCCCCAGAAGTTTCCCAAGACTCACTAGCAACACTGCCCAAGTGTTCTGGGCTTGACTATTTGGAAAATGAACTAACCCCTTGTT